AAACGTCCTGCTGTGCTGAAAGCGGATTCCGAGGCTACAGTCGAAACCTGCACTGATAGTAAGTCACGAACCATGGTGGAAAGTATAGGATATGAAACTGATCCATATACTTTCCACCATTGCAAAATATCTAAAGCATTTCCTTGACATCTAACTAAAGAAGCAGAAAAATATTCATCTATTTCAGAAACATCTAATCCTGATGAAGTTCCAGATCCACCAGTTAGTTCAGCTACCATTGCATACCTATCAAAACTTACACTTTTACCTCGACCTGTGCTCGAAGCTGAAGGTGCCGAAGCTGAAGACTGTTGTGTAGCTACACCATATCTAGCTGCATACTCATCATATAAGGTTTGAAAATAATTTCTAATAGCTAAATAATGAGTAGTAGCAGTAAGGGTGGATCCATCATCTAAGTCTATAATCTGTCCACCATACAATGATTGTAACAAACTTCGAAGGCCAATTTCCTTCAAGCATGGATCAATAAGAACACCAATACCAAAAATATGAGGAATAGGCCTAAAATACTTATTAAATTTACTCTCCATTTCAAAAATTATACTTCCAAAAATATCATCCATACGATATTTTGTAAAAAAATTTTGAATATTTAAAATTTGTAAAGCAGCTAAAGTAATAGTTGGATAATAACAACCAGATAATAACATAGTAGCATCATAAAAAACTTGTAACATCTCATTTAATTTACATATAACTGTCCATTCATCTTCAGTTATTCCATAAGCACTACCAGAGCTAGAACTAGAAGCATAAAAATTTATAAAATCATTTATAATTTCTTTATATTCTATTGCTACAGATAACATTGCATAGGTGGAATTCCACCTATGGTCAACATCTTTTGGAATTAGTCTAGGCTTATAATTTTTTCTTTTACAACATTGTTTCCATCTTTTAATTCTCATTTCAGAAGCATTATGCATATTAGTAACTGTTCTAACTTTTTCTATCATGGGTTTAATTTCAGAAAATGCACTTTGAACAATTAAATTTAAAATATGACAGATACATCTAACATGAAAAAGCTCACCATGACATGGCAATGACAAAGTTATTTTCAGAAAATCAACAGCTACATTATTATTACTTGCATTATCTAGTGAAAGAGTAAATATTCTTTGATCAATTTCTAGTTTCATAAGTTCTTCAACAATTAAATTTGCAACATTAATACCAGTGTGTGACTCTTCAATTGCAATAAAAGAAACAACTCTTTTAAACATTTTCCAACTTTCATCAATCCAGTGTGCTGTTATACATAAATAACCAGTTTGCACTCTAGATGACCAAATATCAGAAGTTAAAGAAAATTTGCAGTTTAAATTTTTAAAATAAGAAATTATTTTTCCCTGTTCCTCAACATAATATTTTAAAATATCACGTTGACAGGTTTGACGAGAAAATTTTGTAAATGCAGGATAAAAACCATCTCTAAATAAATCTTCAAATTCATCATCTTCTACTAATTTAAAAGGAAGGTTTTTAAGAACAATAAACCTGATTACGCATTTCCGGGCTCGGGCAGCGTCATAATTCCAACTGCCGAGGGTACCTGAAGAGGATGATTGGGAAAGCATAGACTGCCGGATATCACCTTGTAGATTTTGGCCTTTGTTGTGTTTTTCAATATGCCGTTTGAGATGGTTGGTGCCGCTCTTATGATGAGCTTTGAATATCTGGCCGCACAACGCACATTTCGCATTCTGAGAGATGATCCTACCGTGTTCATCCTTGGTGACGTCTATCTTCTCAAAAAAATTCCATACATCAGACCTCGGCCTTTTTGGAGCTCTTGGTGCCGTAGATTCGTCGCCACCAGATTCAGGATTAACACCGGTAGGATGAGGAGTTGTTGTAGGAGGACTCATCTCTGGATCGGTAGGAGTTGCATGTTGCTCTTCATAATCAGACCCAGAAGCCATTTGTTGGAAGTATTAGAAAATACAAAAGATTATAGGATAGTATATTAGTATGAGATAGTATAAGATTGTATAAGAGAGTAGTAGAGAGAGAAATAGATGAGTTTTGTTGTGAGAAAATGAATTGAAACCCCCCCTCTATTTATAGAAGCAGCCCCCTAGGTAAATGACCAAAAAACCCTCGAAAAATAGCCGTTTTTTGACCGTTTTAAGGGGCAAAACGGTCAAAAGACCAAATCTGGCCGTTAGGCCAGATTTGGCCCGGGCCGGGCTGGGCAACGGTCACCTTTGTGACCGTTATGGCCGGGCCGGGCCGGGTCGGGCCCGGCCCGGCCATTCGAAGCCACAGTGCCTTTTTTCGGCACTGTTCCGGGCCCGGGCCGGGCCCGGACGTGGCTCGCCAACGGCGACCCGGGCCCGGGCCCGGGCCCGGGTTTTGCCCGGGTTTCTGGGCCCGGGCCGGATACCGGGCCGGGCCCGGGCTCCGGGCTTTTTGGACACCCCTAGGTGTTAGGATACTTGACATTAGTTAATTAAAAAGGAGTTTGGATTTTAAAAAGGAAAAGGGGGTAAGAAGTGAAATAAGAAAAACCTACTTTTTGTGAGCATTCCATGAAAGAGATACGGTTGATTGGATAGCCATGATTTGAAGCACATGAACGTCGTGGAGGCCCCCACATCTACTCACCACGTTACAAAAAAGGGATTTCATATCAGAAGAATAGTAATTATTATATTATAAATTGTCAAAATTTCAAGTTAGGTTTCTAATAATTCACCAAATATTATTTGAATGGTTAATGTTTATAAGTCGTCAGTGGAAGTCCTTAACATTGCCTTGGTCATCAGTCTGTCTGGGTCACTTTAATAAAATTCAATTAGATAATACTAACATAACGGTGATGCCATGTCATTACCACATTAATAAGAAATTAGTGAAATGACAAGTCCAATGCAGAAAAAATTAGTGAAATTAACTTTTAGGTTTTTTTTTTTTGATGACATGACTAGCACACGTCATCCCCATATTAGCAAAATTTAATGAAAATTTATAGAAATGATCTAAGTTGATGGCAGAGGAAACATTTGGGGAGCCCCACTAATGATTTTAAAATATCAAAGATTCAAATGTTAATTGGCTGATACATTGGGGACCTCCACTGGACTTGTGCCTTATAAATTTTATATTATATTAATTTTATAAAAACTAAACATGTTTTGTGTTGGGCGTAGAATCACGCTCTCACGTCGAGGAAACGATATCACCCAAGAGAAAGCACTGGCTTTTGTTTTCACAAAAGCTCAAGTCAACCTCTATATTCCCATTTCACAAAGGAAACAAGAATAGAATGGAAATATCTCAACAAAGTGAGATATACACTCTTCCTCTCAGCAGTTCTAGGACTGAATATCGAGGAAACCTACAAGCAATAGTCAACTCTTGTTCCAGCTCAACATCTCATCAGTTCTAGGACTGACTTATGGAGGGAACCTACAAGCAAAACCAACTCACAGTTAAGACATAAGATTTACGTGGTTCGGCAAACTTGCCTATGTTCACGGGAGGGGGTTTTCACTATGAGAAGAATACCAAACTTGAACAACTCACAAGCTCTCTCTCTCTCTCTCTCTCTCTCTCTCTCTCTCTCTCTCTCTCTCTCTCTCTCTCTCTCTGATTTTTTTCTCTCTTCAAAATCTCTCAAAAATTTCCACTCTTTTTCTTTTCTTCCCCACACAACTTCTCTTCTCTCTTCCTCTCTATTTATAGGCAAGAGAGAGTATGGGCTAAACCAAGAGAGCATGGGAGGCATGGGGGCTGTGAGCTTGGGCAGAATGGGGGGTGAGCATGGACTAAACGTGGGAGCATGGGGGAACCACTGTCCACAGTGCCCCCCCCCCCCCCACACAACACCACTAAGTACGTTCCCACTCAAAATTCTCCACCTCGTTCATCATTTGATAAACCTTAAATTTTGAACGAACACCAGAAGAACCCCACGAACATCACCAGAGAGATCAGATACACCAAACCAGACCAAAACCAGTCTAAACCAGCTGCACCATTATACCATGGTTGCATACGTACCCTCTGACCAGGATCAAGCTAACCGTAGTTCTGTAATTATTCCCTAACATAGTCTCCACATCACCCTCATCATCGCCCCGAAGGGCCATGCCCTCTTGGACAAATCAGCACGAGCTGATATGAAGCAAGTCCAAGCAATGCTAGAACTTGCTGTCTGTTACCACCTTGGTTAACATGTCTGTGGGATTCTCATTCATGTGCACATTCATGAGAGAAATATCACCTTCCTCTATGACATCCCACACAAAATGATACCTAACATCGATATACTGGTACGAGCATGGTGAACTTGATTCTTAACCAACGAATCGCACTCTGACTATCGCACCATAAGTTTACAGTATCCTGCTCAATCCCCAAATTATCTAAAAGACCCCACAATCACAATGCTTCCTTCACTCCCTCTGTCATGAACATATACTCGGCCTCTGCAGTAAAAAGCACCACCGTAGCCTGTAACATCGATCGCCAACTAACTGGAGCTCCATATATATTGAACACATAACCAGTAGTAGATCGTCGTCTGTCTAGATCTCCCCACTACAACACCTGAAATCTACCATAGCGGTCGAAAAACGCTATGGTATTATTTCATAGCGTTTTAATCAACGCTGTGTCAGAACCCGCTATAGTAGATCTGTGGCTTTACATAGCGTTTCCCCAAACGCTGTCAAAAAGTTTCCAACCATAGCGTTTTTATGTAGCTATAAAAGAGTATTCCATAGCGTTTCTATATTGCTATGACAAATATCTTTCATAGCGGTTGAAAAACGCTATTAGTTAGTTTTCATTCATAGCATTTCAACGCTGCTATTGTCTTACATTTGATAGCGTTTGAGTTACTACAATGGCGTTTCAGTGAATGTTGTCTTTCTTCTTTTAATAGCATTTAAGTAATTGTTTCCACTTCTTATAGCATTTCAGTTGTGCCTATAAACCTTTGAGGTTGAACTAGAAATAACTTCCAATTGTGACAACCATAAAAGCAAATATTTTATTTAAATGTTCAAACTGATACATAACCAAGTTGTAGCATACAAGAAGAGTCAACACAAATGTGCCAAAAAACAAATACTAGTCTTTGGATAATCCAACATGGAGTACAAGAATTAACCATAGTACACAGAACAACAAAAACTAACTTTGCTGCATTACATATGACTTGGGAGACTCATCATCTTCAGCAATTGAGTTCGAAGATATCACACAAGAGTTCGAAGTTTGATTAAACTTAGGCTCAACACACCATAATGTCTTGATAATCTGACATTACTGACTTTCCAAGTTGCAATTCGCGATATTTTGGACCTGGTTTCAGTCCTAGAGATGAAGCTTTAACTGGGTCAAACTTCCCCTTAATTTCTGGCAATTCACAGACATAGACAACCGCATTATCACCAGGCTTTAGTGTAGAACCTGTTATATCATATAAGAATCATTAGCAGAGATGACTGAGGAGACAACAGATATGGTTGAAACATGTAACAATATAGTAACCCCCAACAATCAGAAGATTATAAAACAGTTTATACGCATATCTACTCATCCGCTTCTAGTCCCACCCTAGATCTGATTTCTACTTTGCATTCTAACCCAGGCCTTATATCTAGACTCTTTTTATGAATTATCTACATATTAGTGCAAAATCCCTTCACCTATTGATTAAGGCCTAATAATTGTGGAATCTATTGTTATATTTGATCCACCAAAAATTGTTGTTAAGCCTACTAGACTTGAACTCCCTTGACGCAATAACACTGCACTACAGATCCTATACCCTATAGCTGATACTCCAAGAAATAACTGGATTAGAAAAATTTATGCGCAACAAGAAGAAAAACTTTCTGGGTCCTAATTTTATGGTCAAATCCCTATGACCAGTATCCTCTCTTTGCCCAGCAAACATATCTAGTTGCAGAGCCAAATTGCATAGCCAAATTGCAATAACTCACATTTGCTCTCTGCAAGAAACTAATAATTTGCGGTAGATGCTCATGACAACTTTTGCATAGCCAAACTCACATTTGCTCTCTGCAAGAAACTAATAATTTGCGGTAGATGCTCATGACAACTTTTGCATAGCCAAATTGCTCAGTTCTCAATTCCTTGCACTAATAATTTGCGGTAGATGCTCATGACAACTTTTGCATAGCCAAATTGCTCAGTTCTCAATTCCTTGCAACACCTTTGCTCCAGATAACTTGTGATTTGATAATAAAAAAATGCAGAAATTGAGCAAACATGTAAGTTTGAAATTCTTATTTTGAAATTAACTACATGGAAAATACTCTCCTTAATTTGTCAACTTAATTTAGTGTAGAACCTGTTATATCATATAAGAATCATTAGCAGAGATGACTAAGGGGGCACCTAGAAGCTTTTTACTATGGCAGCATGTGGAATAAATAATTTCATTGCATCAACCAAATATTTAACATCAGACGGGCCCCACATGTTAACCTGAAAGGAAATAAGTTTACCAAAGGAGCCTATAAGTTATTTACTAGAAGTCTACATTAGTAACATATCATGGATAACGGAACAAATAGTAAACAAGCATTCTCCAGAAGCCGTTTAAATGAAAGACAAACAAAGAGAGCTAGAGGATTACATACAGACATCCCTTCTTCCCCAATGCCGGCTAAAGTCAATAGAAGACCTGTACACAATTAATAAATTATTATTTATTTACAGTTCAAAGATAATTGTGCTACTATTCTACAGACAAAGAAAGGCCTACTAGCTGAGCCTATGAGATAGGATATATACAGTTTCTTGACATAACAAAAATAACTTTTTTTATAAAAAACAATTTCACACTCAAATAAATAATGCACCTGGAAGTCCGCCTAAAGTCTCTGAGCATACATGAGTTAGGACTATGTGATCAATCTGAAAGAAAACATCATTAAATTGCTTCAACTCTATGAAAAATCAAATGCTAAAATAGGATCAAAGTTGTAAACGGACAAGCAAATAGATACTCAATCTGCTAATAGCAGACAATTCTATACCTGGGGAAAACACAGAATAAAGTGAAGACATTGGAAAAGAAAACTTGCATAGAAATGTCAATATAAAGATAGTTTGACAGATGATTTCTCAAATGGATAAAATTGACAATGAGGCTAGCACTAAGAGAATAAGCAAAACTACAGTTATTCCAATATATGTGTATCTTCGATAACTTGATCTTGTGCTCAGTGTATAACCGCTGCAAACCATGAAACAAGATGAATTATTAGACAAAGATTCATCTCAATGAAGTTATCTTATGAGTAGAATGTCAAAAGAAAGGACACGCGATGTGCAAGGATAATGGCAAAATATTTGTATCTGACACTCGTTAATAGTGTCAAATTCTCTTAAAATCGAAATTGACCACAGATAGGATATAAAGCAAAATTCACTTGAAAATTTAGCGAGGCGCAATGAGTGACTTGTAAAGTCACAATAATTAACAATTCTTAGAAGACGTAGTTAATTCATTATCAACACTCCTAAGTCCTCACTTACACAAATGACCTCTCCAGATCAGAAGATGTCAAATTATCAGCATGACACAATTTATTGATCTACACCATCCACATGCTTATTACTAGCCTGCAAAAGTAATAACGTGCGAGCTGATATAACTTCAGTAATGCTGCGCAGATCCAGAATGAGCTCAAGGCACAAGAAGGGGGCACAAAATCCTGAACACCAGCAATTTCTAATAGAAATAGGCTAATTTGTGGCATTATCCACAGCAGTTTATCAAAGTATGATGAGTTGGATGCACAACACAAGCATAAACATCAAGAATATAATAATTGTATCACTCATTACTTCATATTTATCTAATAGTTCTCAATTTATTATTTTATTATATATTACTTGAAAGCAAAGTAATGGACCTAAGTCTTTACCTAGCGATTAAGATAGTCATAGCTTTGTCTTGCATGACCAATTTACAAGAATCTTATACTGGAAATAATCACACCAAAATGAAAAAAAATAATAAAAAAAGAAATTAATATGACGATGACAACAAGATAAGGAAACCAAAAATAATAGAGAACATATGAAGAGCATAAACGTATACCGAAGCCACGACCAGCCATCATCCCTCTCCCAAAGCCTCTTCCAAAGCCTCTACCGCCAAAGCCATCTTGTCCTTGACTGAAATGCCAGATGGTCCAATTAGAAGATTCTTCCAAAGCCTCTACCGCCAAAGCCATCTTGTCCTTGACTGAAATGCCAGATGGTCCAATTAGAAGATAGTACTTTTCAAAATAGAATTACAATGAAGAACTATTGCTATGATTTGTGGTTCATGTCACCTTAAACAATAACTTAAAACAATTTAATAAGAAGATCAACTTAGAAATCAATCAACACAAGTTTCTCACCAGCTCCAATCAAGTGCAGGCGTTTCAATTAATGCCTTAAGCTTGTCGTCTTCATCAATCCCACTAGCAGAAGAGACATCTACACCTGGATTACCCGACTGAGTAAGGACCACTTCAGGAGCATACAAATCATTGCCAAATACATCCCATTCAGATTCTTCAGGTTGCAAATTTGAACTTAAACTTACAACCTCCTTCCTCCCCTCCACTCCCAAGCTCCCCTACAGTAGCAGGAATAGCTTACTGTTGCCGCCGCCTCCTCCACATCCTTAGCCACAATTCGGCACATCGGGCCAGTTCCCGCCACCGACCCAATATCCACCTTCAGATCCTTCGCCAATTTCCTGTCGGCGAGGGCTTCGACACAGGAGGTGCAGAATCTTGCCATACTACAGCTTCTTGCTGCGCCGGAGGGGAATCTGAATCTAGGATTTCGGATGAGGAGGAGGAAGATTGGGCCTTTGACCTAGCCTGCTCGATCTTGGCCTCGGTCTCGGCGAGCAACGCGATCGCCGAGCCCACGGGGGCGACGCTGCCCTCTTCGACCATGATTGAAGCGAGATACCCATCGTGGGTTTGGTAGATGAGGAGGGAGCAGATTAAGGGCATGCGAAAATTGTTGGGGTTAGGGTTTTTTTTCTCAGGGCGGGACCAATGAATTTTTGGGGGTGGGGGATGAATTTTTGGGGGCGGCCTAATTTAATTTTCAGTGTCCCGCTTAAGTTTTCAACGCACCAGAATAAAAAAATTTGTGATCACTTACTTATAGCGTTTAAAATTTTTCAAACGCTATCAAAAAATAAGGCACGTATGATCTATAGCACTTACAACATAAACGCTATCATTAAACGCTATAAAATAACAGCTTTGTTATAGTGCCCGCATAATCTGAGTCAACAAACACATCAATCTGACACGTATCTCCATCAAAGCATAGACCCGTATCTATGGTACCCTTCAAGTACCTTAGGATGAACTTCACCGCTTCTCAATGTGTCTTTCCCGGGTTCGCCATGAATCTACTGACAACACTGACCGCCTGTGAAATATCTAGACGTGTACACACCATTGTGTACATTAAGCTGCCAACTGCACTAGCATAGGGGACACGTTCCATGTGTGTCTTTTCTTCTGCTGTAATGGAAGATTGTTTGCCTGAAAGCCTGAAGTGTGGAGCTAATGGAGTCACCACCGACTTAGCACTTTGTATCCTGAACCTCACGATCACCCGCTCTATATAGTCCTCCTGACTCAAGAACAATCACCGATTCGCCCGTTCTATTCTAATCTCCATACTCAATATTTTCCTTGCAGCGCCCATGTCCTTCATCTCGAACTCTTTACCAAGTTGAGATTTTAACCTATCTATCTTCACCTTGCTCCTCGACGCAATAAGTATGTCATCCACATACAAAAAAAGATAGATATAATCACCTCCACGAAGCTTCCGAATGTAGACACAATAATCATAGTCGCTTCTGGGAAACTCATGCTTCAGCATGAAGGAGACAAATCGCTTGTACCACTGCCAAGGAGATTGCTTCAATCCATATAGTGATTTCCTCAAGCGACATACATGATACTCCTTATCCTCAATCTTGTAGCCCTCAGGTTGATGTATATAGATCTCTTTATCCAAGTCTCCGTGTAAGAAGGTCGTCTTTACATCGAGTTGTTCCAGCTCAAGATCACCATGAGCAACAATACTCAATAGCACCAGAATAGAAATGTGTTTTAGCACCAGAGAAAATATCTCATTGTAATCCACACCCTCTCTTTGTGCAAACCCTTTAGCCACTAGCCTCACCTTGTACCTTATACCACCAAGCTCTGAAGGATCTTTTTTTTTCTTATACACCCACTTACAACCAATAACTTTTCTTCCTACGGGCAATGGGACCACCTCCCATGTTCGATTTTTCCAAATAGATTTCATCTCCTCTTCCATCGCAGATAACCAACTCTCACTATCCTTGTTCCGAATAGCTTCTTTGAAGGTGACCGGCTTATCATCCTCCACCGAGAGTGCATATTCTACCAAATTAACATGTTCATAATGCTTCAGGGGTTGATCAGACCCCTGCTTTAGTACCTGCTTGTATGCTCGCCTTGGCCTAGTGGAATCCAAACTATCCTCGAGCTGCTATTATTGTAGTGCATGTGTATTTTCTTGCTAAACCTCCTCCTGTTCAAGCTCATCATCTTCATGATCCTCCTCTTGAACGTGACTAGAACCTGATAGGTCCTTGGGTTCTATTTCAATCACCTGGGACTTTGAACACCATTAATATTGGGCGCCCTAGCAATCATGGATTTCTCATCAAATGTAACATCCCTACTGATCACAAACTTTGAATCTTCTGTACACCAAAGACGATAGCCTTTTACACCCTTTGCATACCCCAAGAATATAGCATTCTTAGCTCTCGCGTCAAGCTATCCCTCATTGACGTGATAATAGGCGGTACACCCGAAAATCTAGAGCCTCTCATAATCTACATGCTCCTCTGACCACACCCTAAAGGGTGTATCACCATCCAGTATAGAATGTGGAGACCGATTCACTATGTAGCAAGCTGTAGCAATCGACTCTGTCCACCATTCTTTGCCCAAACCAGCATATGATGGTATACTCACTGCTTTCTCCCGCAGTGTACGGTTCAGCCTCTCCGCGACCCTATTCTGCTATGATATTGATCTGGTTGTCCAGTGTCTAGCAATGTCCTTCTGATCACAGAACTCCTTGAAGGCACCATATGTATCCTCTGTACCGTTGTCAAATCTCAGTGTCTTCAACTTCTTCCCAGTCATGTTCTTAACCATCGCCTTCCACTTCTTGAATGTCTCGAATACCTTATTCTTATGCTTTAGAAAATAAACCCAAGCATACCTCGAATGATCATCTATGAATGAGACAAAATATCTAGAGTCTCCCTTGGAAGTAGTCTGAGCCGGACCCCAAATATCCGTGTGTACATAATCCAGAATACCTCTACTCTTATGCTTGCTTCTCAGAAGCTGGACCCTGTGCGCCTTCCCGTACACATAATCCTCGCAAAACTCTATGCAAGGTTTCTTTAGATTCTTCAACAAACCCTCCTTACCAAGCAGATCCAGACCCTTCTCTGACATGTGCCCAAGCCGCCTATGACATAACCGTGTATGCTCACATGAGTCTCCATCACTTCCATTAGTTCCAACCGTTGTATCAAAAATTTTATCACCTCCCATCTGAATAAAGGGCTCTGATACCAATTATTTGGCGTAGAGTCACGTCCTCATGCCGCGAAAGTGATATCACCCGAGAGAAAGCCCTGGCTTTTATTTTCACAAAAGCTCAAGTCAAATTCTATATTCCCGTTTCACAAAGAAAACAAGAACAGAAGTGAAATATCTTAATAAAGTGAGATATACTCTTCCTCTCAGCAGTTCTAGGACTGAATATCATGGGAACCTACAAGTAATAGCCAACTCTTGTTCCAGCTTAACCTCTCATCGGTTCTAGGACTGACTTGTTGAGGGAACCTACAAGCAAAACCAACTCACAGTTAAGATACGAGATTTACGTGGTTCGGCAAACTTACCTACATCCACGGGAGGGGTTTTCACTATGAGGAGAATATCAAATTTGTACAACTCACAAGCTCTCTCTCTCTGATTTTTTTTTGCCTCTCTTCAAAATCTCTCAAGAATTTTCACTCTTTTTTTTCTTTCCCACACAACTTCTCTTCTATCTTCATCTCTATTTATAGGCAAGAGAGAGTATGGGCTAAACCAAGAGAGCATGGGAGGCATAGGGGCTGTGAGCATGGGCAGAATGGGGGGATGAGCATGGGCTACGTGGGAGCATGGGGGACACTGTCTCGTGTCCCCGCACCCCAGCCCACCCCAACGGCCCCCTACCCACCCCCCCCACCCCACGCACACACAGTGTGTGTCTGATAATTGAATGGATCTAGGCATGAAAATGAAAAACAAAAGAAGTTAACAATAACACATATGGGAATAAGTTTTCCTTTACAAATCACTCTGGGTCAGAGGTCTATCTATGGTAGTTGAATGAGCCTGAACTTGAAAATGAAAAATAAAACAAGTTAACAATAACATTAATAGGAATAAGCTTTCCCTTTGCAAATCACTCTGGATCAAAGGCATCCCCACATTTCATGGATCTTGAACGTAGAGAAATATCATTTGATAGTTAAAGATTAAAGAAGTTAGCAATGACATAAACAAGAACAAGCTTTCCCTTTGCAAATTGCTTAATCACTCTAGATCAAAGGCATCACCATATTTTGCTGAACTTCAATATATAGAGAATATCATTTGGTAGTTAAAGACCATATTTAGCAATCTAGTCCGTGTTTTTGTTGCAAGTATTTTACGTAAACCGAACATGCTCTAAATTAAAACTTCTTAGATTCTTATTATAATTTATGGCAAGGTTTTTTACATACTTTTCATCTTATACTCTACGTGGAGCTCATGTCTTCTTATTACTACTAGTTCACCGGCACAAATTGACACAACCCATATGAATTTGGATCCCATCAAAACCTCCCGCATGGTGCGGGAGGTTCCAAGACATTGAAAATATTAAACAGAGAGCAGTTTGGATATTTCTGCGGGAGGTTCCAAGATATTGAAAATATTAAACAGAGAGCATGCGGTTTGGATATTTCTCTGCCTCCTATATGGCTCAAATTCCCCCACATGATAGAGAATTCTGATAAGATCCTCACGCCTCGTTTGGTACGCGGGAATGAACTCCAATGAGAATGGAATGGAAGAAGAAATGGAATGGAATTAATGAGAGATTGGAATAGTCATTCTCATTCTCACATTTGGGTATAATTTATAAAATGAAGTGGGAATAGACGTATTTTAAAATTGTATATTTTATTGATTCTCATTTAAGTGGGAATGCTCATTCTCTATCATTTCATTGGGAATGTTCATTCTCACATAAAGTGGGAATGTGCATTCCAACTTTAAAAAAGAGGATGTGTTTGGTAGGAAGGAATAAGAAGTGAGAATGGCAATTCCATTCTACCTCATTCCCGCGTACCAAACGAGGCCTCAGTGAAATCATGTCTTCCCCTGTCCCTTGTAGATGCTCTTAACTCTCCTATGGTCCATCAAATCTAGGTTCCTTTTAGAACCTATCGCGGGGCAACGTGTGATCTAAACCAAAAACATATCCATCGAATCATCATCATATCATAAACACAATAAACAACTTTATGACAAAGAATAGAGCCATGACTCAAAATCTTTGCGATTATGGGAAGGATTCACTTTCTCACCCTCAAACACTAGGATTTGAGTGCTTCCTACCCATTGCTTACTTTACTAGGTTCGGAAAGAACGAAGGAACCAGCAATAATTGGTACATGGTCAAGGGGGTTGCAGTATGATGCGGTACAACATTAGCTTTTGTCCACCACTATATTTTTCTGTTCAATTTAGGTGGGTTGAGAATCTCATGTTGGCCGGCCCTTTGGTCCGGCCACAAAGCCCAAATGAAAGTGGTGCACCAACTTGGGATGAAAGGGTTCAATCAGGCTTATAAATAGATTAGAAGGGCTATTACTAAGTTCACGCAAACTAACTTGGTTCCAATTATTCTCTGCCTCGTGGTTTTAGAATATAAAATTACTGAAAGCGCACAGCTTGCAACATGTTAAAGTGTAAAAATAGATTAATTAGAAGGGCTCAATCAATCTTATTAATAGCTGAAGGCACTTGTAATTCAAAATGGCAATTAATAAGAGAGGTATCATCATGCGCTTAAAGCCAAAAACCCAAACTATATATGATTATAGCCTCTTCGGAGCTTACTACGAAAGCGTCAGGCTCATGTATAATCAAGGTTTTATTTGGTTAAATCTCTATAGCTGTGGTTGCAATCAAAGTGTAATTTGGGTGGACTCGAGCTTTAATTGGACCAAGGGCTTTAAGGTTCAGGAACCCACAGATGTAATAGGCCATGAGCTCAACATTAATTAGTACTGATCATTGAGCTGAGAACAAATAGAGCAACTGTCTCTTCTGGTCAACCATGTTGGGGACCAGCTCCACAAGTGAACGAGGATGATGGTCCCAAATCAACACGCAAACAAAGCTTCACACAGAACTCATCGAGTCTGAGTCGATCACAACTCCAAAAAGATCAACAAATCAAAGCAAACATCAAACATATGGCACGATCATCAAGTAGCGAATGCGCATGCTACAGGCTTCAATCGGTGGGCACATATTTAGCATGGGCACAACCAAGTAGGCCAACCTACATGTTGATATGCCACAAATAAAGCTGTGATAAGTACAATATTTAGTGAAACTCTTATTAATGGTGAACCAAATGGATATCTACCACTAAACTAGTGCGCAAATCCTCGAGTCTATCAATTGAAGGATAAGAAGAACAATGGACTTAGGGGCCTACGGATATCTCCCTGATCACAACAATCTTATTGACCATTAGGACGAAAGAAGGATCAAATAGAACATACTTTCTGTTCGTGCAATTATTCTTCTGTTTACGAATCTATACATACATATACAAAACAACATACCTTAGGCAAAGAGAGAGTCTTTCTTGCCTGAAATCAGTGATATGGCAACGAATAGAGCTTCTTTAGGACCACCTCCTGCATAGCACACAGAGCACTAAGTGACATAGCAGAACTTCTCGACCATGTTTGGATTAGAAATTTGTTTTATCCTGGGACTAATTTAACTCACTACAGCCCTAAGATATAATAGTATTGGGGACCGTAGTGAGTTAAATTTTGAATAATTCATTGGGTCCGATTTGTTATTAACATCTCTGATACATGTGTAATGTTTGGGGACTTGCCATTATAAGGTGATATAATATTAGAATGCAATGGTATAGTACTAGAATATGACAACAAATATTCATAATGACCTTATGTCTACCCACCATGATTTTAGCCAGGTTATGACGGTGTTTCAAAGCATTTTGTACGCATCCCCCAACGCATAACAACTTGACTAAACAATATGATAACCCAATATACATTGAATCAACAAACTAAAAAATAGAATGATACATCAGTAATTAGGAAGCAATAAATAAATGAAACTACTGCAATCATTGAAAGACAACGTAATTTTGATAGTTCGCTTAAGATGCAATGAGAAATCTACAGAAAAACAATGGATGGAAGCAATAAACCTTTGTAACACATGCATGCGCACATACTACTAATATCAAGTTTTGCTTGTAATTTATACCAACAACACTTATACCCTCCCAAATAGTTCTATATTTTGCTGCTAATTATATGCACTGTGATTTTTCCTATAGACGTACTAAATATATAGTGCATCAAAGTAATCGTCACTTCGTACATATTTAACTATTATTTTCATGTGAACAAAACTATCTGGAACGGGTAGTACAATGTCAAGCAAAGATACATATTTAACTATTCTTTTCATGTGAACAAAACTATCTGGAACGGGTAGTACAATGTCAAGCAAAGATGCACAGGTCATAAGAACTTTAACAGAGCGTCCTTTTTCTTTTTCTTTTTCTTTTTCTTTTTCTTTTCTTTTTCTATTTTGTATTTGGTAGATGACGGCTACAGTGAAGAAAATTATTAGAGAGGGGGAACTTATGTAAGTTTTTTAGAAAATTTAAAGAGCAAAGTAGTTTTTTTAGATCTAATTCTAAGTGAAATAATCACAAGACTACGATAACACTCCCCTCCCTTCCCTTGTTTAGTCCTAAAACTTCAAATTATTTTATTTTAATGGACTTAATAGTCCGATCCAATATCTTACAAACTTCATCACTATTCTATTTTATAAGATAGAGGCCCCAATCCTAAGACAGGGCGGTTGTCCTTTATACGGGCCTATTAAGTAGGCCCATTGGATGTGCTCATCGGGGTTGATATAGAACAGGCTGGGCCTTAAGGATTAAAGTCAAAACCCCTAATTTGTTTTCATTCACTTAATCCAAAACACACTACAAAATATTAGTTAATCAACTACATCACAACCCACAAACTTCTACCTAACTGCACGCTACGCATAATCCTCAATACAAATACTCTACAACACAAGTCTTGGAAGAAGACCCAGACCACGCAACTTCGACCGCAACCATCTCCTGCTCATACACAAAACCCACCTCCTCTCCGTCAATCCTGCACCCCTTCGGCCTCTCCGACGAATAAACCCTCATCTCTCCTGCCCCCTTTACCAACACCCTAACCTTCAAACCCTCAACCACCTGCACGGATTGTATCGCGCCACCAGTGTTCAACATGTTCGCTAGCCCTACGGGAGCAAATCGAACGTTACATTCTCCCAAGATGCTGACGGGCGAGACTACGTAGAGCTCGTAGTTGAACGGATCGAGGGTCACTTCGAACTCCTCTTCGGGTTTTAGAAGGGTCAGAGTTTTGGCGCGGAACGAGTAGACCGCGAAGAGGTTATTTCTGTTTTGGACCGGGGTTATTGGAGTAGTTCCGGATTTGTTCCATTCGATGTCGGCTGGTCTGGCTGTTGCGGTGATGGTGCGGGAGTATTCGGAGGCGCATTTGTTCCTTCGGGCTTCTCGGTTCCAGCCTCCTCCTTGGCAGTTGAACGCTCCCATCACTCCAGTGTACTGAAACACAGAAAATAATTAAGGGATTTATCTGACATACTGATCGAACACATTGCGATGGGATCCGTTCCGAAAAGGGACGACCGGTACTCTTGAGCTCCGCTGGGGAGTTACGTACCTTGTTGAGGTTCCAGATCTTGAGCATGGTCCTGCCGTCGTGCAACGGGTCCTCGAACAAGCAGTCCCTCGTCGGGAGCGCGCAGCCCTCGCACCGCAGTATCGTGCCGTCGGGCAACGCCAGCCTCCTCAGCAGCTCGAAGTCGTGATCGCCGACGAGTCGCTGAAACCGTAGACGGGCCCACCAAGATAGGCGCGGGAGGCGGCGTGGAAATGAGCGCAGGGGTGGGGTGGACTGGGAACATGTCCGCAGTCGGGAAGCGGTGAAGCCTGGACATCGCAGAGGCTGTGTGTAGGCGGCAGTGCACCATGGTGGGGCATGCCCTGCAGCCAGAACGTCCCGTTCCGGTCCCCCGCTGGGTCCGTGCACCAGAAATCGTCGCCTGCGATTGGAATATTCCCAAGCGATTTAATTAGGGGGCGCCAATTTAATTTGATGGGCTGGACAGAATCTCTTAAGAAAAATTCATCAAGGATCCAAAATATGGACCAATAGAAGGGACAAGTGAGTTGTCCCCCTCCTATTGGATAATGAGTTGACCATCATTAATGATGACCGACTCATTATCCAATAGGAGGGGGACACATCACTTGTCCCTCCTATTGGTCTCATATTCTGGATACCCGTAGCAAACCTCATCTCTTAATTAGCTTTTTTTTTTAGTTGGGAATTTTGCGATTACCGACTCGGCCGAGCGAAATGGCTTCGGTGCCGAGGAACATGAAGTCGTTGCAGTGCTCCATGCTGGCGATCACTCCGTTGCCCTTGAAGTGCTTTCTCACGGATTCGGTCAGGCCTTTGTAATAAGCCTTGGCGAGCTCCACTCTGCCCCCGTACTCCTCGCTTACCATCTCCAATATCTGCACCGTTCAAGGGAAATCGAATATTGAGCCCCCCTTCCTTTCAAGCTCGATAAAGATAAATTTTAATTACTTTAGAAAGGGGGCAAAAAAAAAAAGAACAGTTATTTCATGAATTAGGGAATTGTTTCTTCCCCCCGCTTGCGGGCCGGCTTTTAGACTCGCTGGGA